GCAGCAGCAGTGGCGGCCCCCGCACGGGCATGCAAATGTGAGTCAAACGTATAGTGCTGCGCCCCATGGGGGGCCCGCGTATGGCACCGAGTGTAGGGGATGGGAGCAGCAGCCACAGTATCAGCAACCGTCGCAAGACTACAGCTACCAGCAGCAGCCGTACTACCCGCCTCCGACACCGTACTACCAGCAGCAGCAGCAGCCACCGCCGCAGCCTCCGCCACCGCCGTCGTTCCAGCAGCAGCAGCAGCACTCGACCCATGCCCCGTACCATTCGCCTCCTCCCGACGCAGCCGGATCCCCTGGGCATCTTCACTTCCTCAAGACACGTTTTGTGTCACAAGGCGAGATCTTTCCAAATGTGGTAGCGCGTGAGAATGGTAGTGGTTTCGCTTTGTCTGTTCAGAGTCGCCCTTCGCAGATTGGTAGAGAGCAATTTTGGGCCGCCAGCGGCGCGAGCAACACGTTTGTCAGCAGTAGCGAAAACATGTGCGACATGAAGCCAATCCCAGCAGGAAAAGAGTTCATCCAAGTAGGGAATGGTGCCTCTCTGTGCGCGCAATGTGTTGGTAGCATCAACATGGCATTTCACATGCCCGGCCCTTCGGGCGAGACCGATTTTTGCGTGCAGATGTCGGACGTGTACGTAGTCCCCGGCATCACATTCAATCTGTTTTCTCTCCACCATACGCAGCGTAGGCAGAGAATTATGTTGGATGAGAATGGCGTGCATCTCTTCAATGGCCAGCTTTCCTTTGCCTACTCCGATGTAGGATGTTCACTTTGGGCCACTCGCTTGCCTCCCACGTATACCGGTAGTGCTGTGACCCTCGGTCCCGATGCCCTCCCTTGTGTGTCTCCCCAAGCTCCCTCGCTTAGCGTTGGGACAGGCCTTGTTGTTGCGAACCCCCCTTTCCCACCAAACACAGGAGCGGGCACACCTGCGAGTACGAGCTTCCAGTCCTTTGGCGATTATCGCCCCCGGTGCTTCCCCATTTTCGGTAGGAAAATCCACGCCCACTATCGACATTAATTTGTTCCATGCCTCCACCGGCCATGTCAACGAATTCTTGATGCGTGAAACGGCCAAGCAGCAGGGCGTACGATTGGTGGGGGAGATGCAGCCGTGTGTGGGCTGCGTGGAAGCGAAGGGTAGGCGGGCCCCGGTGCCGCGGCGTGGCACCCGCGCGGCGGTACCGTTCGGCAAAATCCACATCGACCTCACGGGCCCGTTCTCTGACGCGTTGGACGGCTCCCGGTATCTGATCATGTTCGTGGACAGCGCATCGCGGTGGCAACGGGGGTACGGGATGCGGGCCAAGAGCGACACCCTGAAGTTCGTGCAGCGGTTTCTCGCCGACATGAACGGCATGGGCACTCCGGGGTGTTTCCGCATGGACAACGGCGGCGAGTTCACCGGCTCCGCGTTCACCTCGTTCTGCGACGCTGCTGGCATTCGGCGCGAGTACACCGCCCCCGACACCCCCAAGCAAAACGCGGTGGTCGAGAGCGCCATTTGGCGCGCCATGAAGGGGGGCCACGCCGCTCGCCGCCACATCCTCGCCATGGGCCACGTCGACCTCTCCTCCGTCCCCAACGTCGGCGTCAACGGACATCGCCTGTGGCTCGCGTCGGCGCTGTGGGCATCCGCCTGCTTCAACCGCTCGGCGACGAAGGCCAACCTGGGCTGAATGTCTCCGTTTGAGGCGTTCTTCGACCGGAAACCGCCCCTCACCGTCGTCCCTTTTTTCCAGGAGGGGATGATGCGCGTGAAGCGGGCTACCAAGGCGGACGTCCAATCCGCGCGGTGCTTCTACTTGCACGGCGCCAACAACCACTCGACGTCTACCGC